TCCACCCCGACCTCCGTAGAAGCTTCGTAAACTCTTTTACATCATTCTCCCCTCATATGAAAATAAACACACACACACACACACACACGCACACACATGAAAAAAGTATAGCATCTAGCGAATAGAGGAGTGTCAGACCTTTCCATTATTTGTTCCCATTGATATTGTTGAGTCTGTTCCCTCCTATATTTAATATTAATGTTATTATATAAGCCAACCTTTTATCATATAACTTGCTTCTGTCTTGAATGGGTATTAACTATTTAAAATGTAGGTGTGCTGGTAGAGATATGTGGGTGCCGGTGTAACATTACAGAGTCCCCCCATCAGAGAGATTCCGCTTCCCATTCGTTTGTACAGGTAATTATAAGCATTGCCCTAGATTTTGACCCATTTAGGTCAGGCTAACCCTAACCATTGTAACTAAATGGACGGCGGACTTTCTGTTACACGGACTGTCAGTTTCGTTACACCTGTACCTTAAATTTAATAAGATAGAACCCGCATCTGTAACATTGCACAGTAAGTATGTAGATCATTTGAAGTAACTTTTGCACGCGCATTGGTTCCGCTTAGATAAATTGTATAAAATGTGAATACTGTACATGATGAAGGGGTTTTCAATAGGAACTGAAGATGTGAGATTGCTTTTATTTTGATGTTTCTCTGTACACGTGCAGAGGAAAGAGTCGGATCTGGAGTGATGCCGAGCCGCTTTTGAGTTAATTCGTCGATGGGAATTAATACACTGAAACTCTGTAAATCTATTAATTAAAGTGGATGTCATATCGGACAGTTCACAACAATATGACTCACAAATCAAGACAACACAACATTATACTTGAGCCCCCCCCCCCCCCCACACACACACACATTCGAAACCTTCCCACGATTTTAGGACAATCCCCACCCCAACAATACCACCTCGGACAATCCTTCCCAAACAATCTCCAAAATTAATCCCCTATCACAGAAAATAAACTGATGTTTATATCTATATGAGGTATGTGTGCGTTTATTGAATATTTCACTGACTCAAGATAAAAAGTGTCTTATATTTAAAAAAAAAACACACAATACTTTCACAATGAAGCATATTTTTTGTCATAAAAGTATCGTTACTCTGCAGATTGTGATTTCACACCTAGCATAATGCTGTCAAGTTATGCAGGACCGGACGTCGCATCTCACGTATAAAATGTAATCAAATGTCACATCTCACATAATGGATAACTAATGTCTAATACTATATTGTCACCATTTGTAGACTCGGATGTCACATCTAATGCAATTGTGCTATATTCTAAGACTATAACCCCATGCATTTTCAAATAATTGATTTTACATTTCAATAAGTATGACACTAAATGTAATGCAATGGGGTGATATCGAAAAGCCAAAGAGGTCGCACCTAGTTTAATGCTGTCACGCTTCAAAAACTTTGACGTTAGATCTAATGCATTAATGTTATATAACAGTAAAATACATGTGGTACGACCTAAAGGACGACGGATGAAACGAAGGTATCCCATATATGAATTAACAGAGCAAACTAAACAATTTATTGTTTCTTGGATAGAACGACATCATTGATGTGGACGTCGCATATAATTTTAAATAAAGAACGATATAAAAAGTATACTTTATTGAAATATAGTGGAAGTGTCGCATATGTTATTATTCTTCTGCGTGATCTGCACAGAAAAACATTTAAATTTTAATATTGTGATCTCACTTCAATTATGTAAAAATTATTTCTAAGAATCGTGACGTTTCATTTATACCTTAAGTTTAAATCACCTCTTGACGTCATTATTAAAACTAACTCGTACACATTTTGCGCGAATACTCACTAAAAAAACCTTACATAGAGAAAAAGTGACTTCAGGGATGTGCCATTTGTCAATAGGCCACAGTATATATTAAAACACATGTGTCATGAAGTACAGACATTAGTGCTTATTACTATCACCATTATTATTACTGACAAAGAGTCAAATGTATTTACATTGTACGAAATGAAACGAAACGACAAGTACTCAGATATTCAATCAAGCACGTTTAAGATGGCGCCATGACTTTTAGCTAGAAAAATATTTTGTGTTTTCGGAACCAATTTATTTTTATCACCCTATACACAATCAAGAGACAACATAATGAAAGATCACAATAATATAACCATTTTTCATACAACGTGTATCTCAACTACCACGTTTTAAACACGTCAGTACCAGTCTAGCGTAAAGTTAAAAAGACGAGCGTCAAGTTCATAATGTTGCCATATTTTCCTGATATCGCTTCTAGATATTTCAGTAAAATATTTTTTCCAGACTGCAGAGGAAGAGGCAGGGAGATCACCTTCAGGATACGTCAACATGTCGTCCATTCCTATCAGCTTCAGCATCATGTTTAGATCTGTGCCTTGAGATTCCAGTCTGGCGATGACGTCATAATGAATCTGACATGGATCACATAACCTAATATAGCTTTCCCAGTGGTCGTTATAATCCTTGTTTGGATCAAGAGAGTTGAGATAATCAATGAAGGCCTGAAAAGAGACACCTTCTTTCCCAGTCAGCATGCCTGGTGTCGGGTTGGTTTCAAACCTCTTGGCAATGTATATAGCTTCCCCTGTAATCGGGTGTCCTTTACCTTCTAGTTTACCTCTGTATGCCGATACCAGGCGCTCCAGTGGATGGCGAACGATGATCACCTTTAAATAGGTCTCCAACCGTAATTTAGCTCCAAACGGAGAATACTGACTAAGTCGAGGGAGGAAGCGTTTGTAAGAAACCACTTTCTTACCCGATCCAAAATTGTGGAACGATTTCATATCCACGTTCCCTGTTAACGCGTAAAGTAGGCGTTTTCCATTGGTACAGCCGACTTTAGGCATTGAGCACATAATAAGGCGGTGCCTATCATCCACATAAAGCATGGGTGGAAAGCCTGTCCTGGCACTGCTGCCATCTACAGAGTGGGTGGTGTCTCGGCAAACGGTTTCCATGTGTTTCACGCGACGTTCCATCTCTTCCCGCCAGATTTTAGGGACGTTCAACCAGGATGAATGCCGATCCTGGAAGTAGAATCAAATGTGATATATATATATATATATGGAAAATTTATCAGAATTCATTTAGATATATGTGATCATCCTGCTCAAGACATTTTTTCAAATGATTTCATGCTCAGTCGACACATACTTTCCATGATTTCCTTTGGCCAAAGTTCAACGTAAGGAAGCAAGTTGAGACATGTTTAAGGTCGATAGATACAATAGTATCTATTTTCTTATACGTCTAGATAATGCAGAAATATGCATTACCATGATTTGAGATAATGATGTCACTTCAAAAAGAAAACACAAAGGAATTTTGCCAATTGTGGTTGACGACGTAACAACTTCGCTTTGCTGTAAAAAAATTTATTTGATTTTAAGCATACATCCCTCCCAAGCACAGCTATCCACACTTTTTTTACGTAAATTAACCATAACCCTTATTACTACAATTTGGTGTCAGGGAATCTTTTCGAAAGGCTTGCTTCTGATTTTATCAATAATGAGCAGAAAAACTCAAAAACAAAGGATTGTAGTTAACACCTTTGTCGTGAACTATGCAATTTTTATTATAATATCTTATTTAAGTCTCGAGTTTCGGAAAAAGGACGCTCACTAGCTTACGCCAATTTATGGCGTATCCACAACCCAAGCTGATCTGAGGAATACTAAAATTAAACTCTTTAGAATAATAATAATAATAAAATTGTTGTTTTATGCGGGGAATCTTCGGGTCTGCAGATCAACTTGCTCTGAATGCGCCAATTTAGAAAGCAGTTTAAAAGATGACAATTAGGGGATGGAGGTTAAAAGCAGTTAAGCGCATGAATGGTGCATAAAACAAAGAATAGGGGAGT